ACTTCAAAACCACTTCATTCCTCCATTTAAAAATCTTTCAGCCTTCTCTAATACTCCACTCAAATCTGACTATACTATATCTATACAAATACTATCTCTTCAAAGCTGTGAATCCTCTCTTAATGCTTTCCCTAACCAATTCAATTCACCTTCTGACTCAATACCTAAATATATTTCAAAATTAGTCTAGTAAATTATGAAATATAAGTATTTTAGATTTTGCTACTATATGTTTTTTTTCTTTATATAAACAAAAAAAAAAACAAATAGTTACAAAAACTAAAATACTCACTCTTTTCAACAATTACTTTCTACAAAAATCCAAAAGCTTTTTAAAAAAACACAAGTGTTTGCACTGGTCAAGTATCATAAAGAAAGCCTATAAATTAGCAACTATCATTTAGAGATACTTCTCATATGCTACCTGCCAATAGTTTTAAAGTCTATTACTTACTGCAGGGAACAGTACTTGTTATTTAGAAGTAGTTTTCATATGCTACTTGCCAACAAGTTTAGAGTAGAGTTGCAGATGAAATTAATTTTCAATGGTGCACTGATGGTGTACTAGATAAAACTGGTGAAACTGGTATACTGATAATAAAACTAGAGTTATAGATGAAGCTAATCTTCAACAATGTACTAATAGTGCACCAGGTAAAACTGGTGAAATTAATTAGTTTTACTTGCAACTCTAGTTTAGAGTTTATTACTTACTAAAAAGAATAAGTACCTATTCTCTTAGTCTTCTAGTAAGAGGGGTAGATTGCTGTTATATTTATTAAGAAATATACACTCTTTTATCAATAAACAAACAAATAAATAAATAATAAAATAAAAAATAATACTTGGATCTTCTTTCGATTATAAAGAGGTTTTGCTTTCAATTGTTTAGATGCTTGCTGTGATCTGGTACTACTTTCTATATCTTTAGCTAAAGTAGTCTCTTTTTCATCGCTATATTTTTTTCATCACTATACTTTTTTTCATTGCTATACTTTTTTTTATCATCATATCCTTTTTCATTACTATACATCTCAACATCAACATTACTCTACTTATAGTTTTTAGAACTTGCTTTTAATCGCCTATCTGATTCTTTGCCAAATTCTTTGTTAATTAGCAACAAAGTTGAAATTTCATCTTTTACACTTTTGTTTTTTTTTTCTAATTTAGAAATTCAGCATTTTAGTTTCGAAATTTCAAAATATAGTCCTTCATTTTCTTAAAAAATTTAATTAAAAAAATAAAATTAAAATTAATAAATAAATAAATCATTAACTAAAACAATATAAATTTTTTTAAAAAAAAAATAACAATCATTAAAAAATAGAAAAAGTTGCTAAATACATTTCGCTCAAGATTGTAATATATATCAAGTGCTTTAGGCTATTTTATTGGTTATTAGTCTAGTATAACAGATCACATGATTATATTAATTTGAAAAAATATATAAAGCAATATCGATCATTTCTTTCTATTTAGGCTATTTTTTCTGGTTAGCAGTCTGCACTTAAGAAAACACCTTGTGCGTTATAAATCAAATACACAACAACATTAATGAACAGAATGACAATAATAAACAAAACACTTATAATGAACAGATTAAAAAAATGATAATTCTTTAGATGACAAAAGAAGTATCTGCTAGACACCTACAAGTGAAATGAAAAAACTTACCTCTTCAGTATACAAAGAAAACTTATTGGATATACATGTTAGAAAAAAATACTCCAGGCTTATCCACAAAACAAAAATATTAAATTCAATTCTCTTTCTATAAAAAAGGAACTTACAAGACTTATATCTAAGAATGCTAAAGAAACTAATAAAATTCTATTCAAATTATCTTATTGTTTTTTAGCACCTATATAACCTATTGGTTTGGCTCTCAAAACACTTTATGAGTCAAAGCCTTTTGAAGAAGACAATGAAGGAAATAACACATGAAAATATCTTAAAAAGGCATTTCTATCAGCTAGAGCTTTTATCTTGAACACATTATTATATACAAATAAAATTCATAGGGACAAGCACTTAAGTACATCAATCCAACTACACAAAATGCCAAACTAAAGATGTTTTTGGGTCTAAATTACAGGAAATTATTAAGAGCAAAGAAGATAAAGCAAGATATCTTAATAATGCTTTCATACAAAAAATGACATTTTGAAGCTTTTACAAGACTATATAGAGGTTCCAGTTTAACATCTTTCTCTAGAGAAGGGTTTAAACCAAATAAATTCTGTACATCATATCGATTTTCCTTTTGGCAAACAAAAAGAAATTTTCAGAACAATTCTCAAAACAATCAAAATCAATGATATCACAGTATCAAAGAGTTGATAGAAGACTCAAGAACTTTGCAGATATATAGTTTACAAAATTCGAAGACTACTAGGCTATTTCTTTAATATGAGACAGATACATACCTATTTGAAAGAGTTCCCCACCATTAAATCAAATATTCTATTATACAAACACACAGTTATACAGACCTAGAGATATTAAGAAAAAAGATATCTAAGGTGATAGAGAACAGTGTAATTGCAGAATTCCTTAATAAAGCACTATATTTTTTATCCAAGCTCTTCCTAGTATCAAAAAAATCAGGAGAGCTAAGACCTGTCATAGACCTAAGATGTCTCAATACTTTTACAAAATATACTTATTTCAAGATAGAGAGTATTGAGTTAGTAAAATCACTTGTGCACTAGAACAACTATATAACTATGATCAATATAAAAGATACTTTTTATTATATACCTTTCCCAGATGCTCAAAAATTCTTCATATTTAATTTCGAAGAGTGACATTTTTGTTTTAGATGTTTGTTTTTGACAAGTTCAAGAATATTATTTATTAAGATTCTTCAACTAGTGATTTAACTAGCTCGATTACAAAGAATCAAACTAGTAGCATATCTCGATAACATACTATTGATTGCAAAAAAAAAGAAAGAAGCACAAAGACAATCACAAATATTATATATTTTTTCTACCAAATTTGTGTCTTAATCAAATTTGTATAATTTGATCTATCATTGATATCTTATGATGTATTAATTAAATTTTGATGATTTTGATACTATTTGAATCGTTTTAATGAGATGATTCTAATAGTATTAAAATTATCAAATTTTGATCACAAGATCATAAGATATCAATGATAAATCAAATTATATGAATTTAATTGAAACACAAATTTGGTAGAAAAAAAGGTATAATAAAACTACTCGAATCACTAGAATTCATAAAAACACTAAAAAATTATGTCTAAAGCCAAATCAATCAGTAGAATTCTTGAGATTCTTGGTAGATTTATAGAAAATAATGCTTTTTCTTTCAAAATAAAAAATAGTAGAAATAATCAGAGAATGCAAAAGGATGAATAAGTTATCTTAGATGCATATATAGAAACTAGCATTCTTAATTAGCAAAATGAATGCAGTAACAAATACTATAATGCCTGCTTGACTATTCTCCCATCAATTGCTTAGAGACAAGAACTACCAACTTTGGGTAGAAGAATGGAATTCTTACACCAGCCTGTCAAACAAAAGTATAGAACAACTCATAATCTGGGCAAAACACTTAGAGGGTTGAAATGGAAAAGCCCTACTAAAGAAACAACTACAAACAATAATCTATACAAATGTCTTTTTGACAAGATGAAGAGCCATTATAAACAATTCTATAATATTAGATGCTTGGAACCTAAGAGAAAGAAAGATGCATATAAATCTATTAAAAATCAAGGCAATCAAAAATGCCTTAAATTAATGGAAGTTTCTTCAGAACCAATCCATCCTGTTTTATTTAGACTCTATAACAATAGTTATCTATATCAATCAACAAGGCAGAATGGTGTCACCAATGATGAGTTAAATTGCCAAAGAGATATGGAAATTATGTATAAAGAGAAATATCAAAATCCAAGCCCAACACATATCCAGAGTTATAAATAAGATAGCAGATACAGCATCTCATCTATACTAGTTATATTCAAAATAAAAAATATTCAGAAGAACATTCTTTCATATACAACAAATTCTAGAGAGAAGAAATTTAGATCTATTCACCATAGCCCAGAACAGACAAATACAAAACTACTTCAGTTGGAAATAAGAACCACAGGCTTTAGCAATAAATACATTAATTTAATCTTGAAAGAACTGGAATGCTTATATGAACTCTCTGTGGAATCTAATACCCAAGGTGTTGTCTAAGATAATTCAAGAACAAATATAGATAGTTCTGGTTTTCCCACTTTAGACTTCAGCTCCTTGGTTTTCTTTTCTTTTGAAATATCTGATCGATATACTATTTATACTATCCAAAACTGCACTAGTACACAACAGAGAAATTCTATTTCAGAACCCCAAGTGGAAGATTTGCATCCAGAAGATATTATTAGATCAAAGCCTTTTCTAAAAGAGCTATAGACTTGTATATTACAGCATATGACCCAAAAACATTTATAAAAATATCATCTACTATATGCTGCTGGTTCAATTGGTATGCTAAACAACAATGCAATTTCATTAAATGCTCTTTACCCAGAGTAGCTGAGTTTTTAGAATATCTTTGCTCAAGCAATTATGAATATAACATGATTGCTAGATACAAATCTGCTATAAGTGAAGTATACAAATAGGTGAAAGATAAATCTATTGGAGCTCATCCTATAATTACAAAAATAATAAGAGGTATATACAACCTTAAACCCCCAAAATATAAGTCTTTAGAGGTTATAAATGTCTTCTCCTCAATAGAATTTTTAGAATCATTGGGAGATAATAAACAGATGCCAATAATACATCTCTCTCAAAAAACTGTTTTTCTTTTAGCATTGATAACAGGAAGCTGTCCATCTGATATAACTTGTATCAATTTCAAGAAACTTAACTTAGAAATTCTTTTGGATATTATAAACTCTAAAGAATCAAAGATATCTTGATCACATGGTAAGAAAAAGGCTAATAGCAAGAGCATATTTGTGGGTCAATATGAAGATAACAAGGCTTTTTGTATTGAATCTGCAATAAAAGTATATTTGAACTACATAGCTGAATGGAGAAGAAATAAAGGCCAAAAAACTTTCTTTTTTCTATTAACAAGTTTTTCTTATAACCCAGCTTTAACTGACACAATTGCCAGGTAGATAAAGCTATATCTCAATGAAACTTCAAGTAAACTAACTGCTAAAGATACTCGTATTATTGCTGCCTTCCTTGCTTTAAACAATGGAGTTGAGCTTGCTTCTATTTTAGAAATATGTAATTGGTCAAGTAACACAGTTTACTATAAGTTTTACCAACATGGAATATATCTCTCACTGCAAAAGAATCAGATACCAACAAAAATTATTGAAGAGGCAATTTTACAAGATTCTATACTCCAAAAAAGCACTTAATATACATTACAATCTTAAGCAAAATGCATTTAAACGAAAGTTTGAATATATAAAAGACATTTGGAAATATATGAGTGAAAGATTGTATTGTATATTAATTACTCTCCTACCATACCACTTGATAATTATTATAATATTGGAATATATTTAAATAATTATGCTTAATAAATATTTATAATTTAACAGAATTAAATGCTAAGATTTTATAGACTTCAATTAGATTTATTAATTAGATCATTTTATACTTAGATTAGTATCAAAATGGCCTAGATAGAGAGAAATGATCAATATTGCTTTATATATTTTTTCAAATTAATAAAATCATGTAATCTGTATGCTAAATTGATAACCAATAAAATGGCCTAAAGCACTTGATATACAATATAATCTCTTGCTCATACATTTCTAAATGTCTTTTATATATTCAGATATTTGTCTAATTTTAGTATCAACTTGCTTCTATTTTATCAAACAATCGTTTTCATTTAAGCTCTGAATTAAATAATTATATAAAATAAAAAATAAAAAGCTATTAGACAAAAATAAACAAATCATTAAAACAAAAAATATTATTCAAAAAAAATAAAAAATAAAAATATAGATAAGGCCATGCAAATTAATTAATTGGTTTTTATAACTAGCTAGGTCAAAATTTAAGAATTTTAAAAAAAAATTTTATATATTTTAATAAATAAGTAAAATTGAAAAAAATTTTATATTTGAGGTGTAATGATTTAGTGTAGTGGTCTAGTCATCACTCTCTTCAAGTAGCAGGTCTAGAGTTTAAATCCCACTAGTAACAATATTTGAAAAATAGGCTTGTGTTCAGTTAATAGCTATGCTTATTAGTTGAATCTAAAACTAAATCTGTAATTTCAATCACACCATCTAGTAATGGGGCTTTGGCACAATAAATTTGAAGAACTAGCATAACCGAAAACCCATTTGAGAAGTTCTAAATATGGATATAACAGAGATTTTTCAATGATACTACAGGAGAGCTGAATTTGAACTAGGGCCCAAGATTAGAGAACCAAGCAATCAGGTTCTTAAGTGGAGAACACACTAGCCGAACTGCTAGGCTGGTACACTAGAGGAAAAAGGCATATGCTTCGAAAGTATGAATCAAGAGGAGGGTGTCCTTTAAGCACCTAAAGCCTGGGCAAACCAACCTGTCTGGGTTGTTAGCTGGAAGTAAAGAAGAGACTGATAAAAAATCTAGTTTAAAAAGACAATTTTAAATACGAGTATTGGAGTTGTTGTGAAATAAAATAAGGGCAAGAAGTAAGTAATCGCAGGGGTTCAATGGTTAGCCCTGACTTCAAGTACATGGATAAAGCCGTAGTATAGGTTATTAAAGTCTAAATAAATATATGTGTGGGACATGTGATATTTAGCAAAATAGAAATATCTTACTATCCAATGATCTGGAGGCACCTGAAGTTAGAGTAAGCAAACTTCACAGTATGTGTTAACCAATGATGAGGTAAATAGGGGTTAACTATAACTATTCTGGGCTGTAAGGTTTGGTATATCTCACTCAAATTGGTTATAGAAATTCACAAACTGAAACACTAGAACCTAGAACATCTGGGTAAGAAATTACTATAATAAATAGACTGGAAATCTTGTAAAACATAATGTATATAATGTACATTTCCAACAATGAGTAATAAAGAGGCAGTGTCGTTAAAAAAAAAAAAAAAATTTATATAAATTTTATAAAATTTTATATATGAAATTTAAAAAAAAAAGCTGGCTAGCCTGGTCTATTTAAAAGTTTTATGTTATAAAAACCAAGTAATTAAATTTGTATAGCCTAAATAAAAATAAAAATAATAAATAAATAAATCATTAAAACAAAAAAAATATTAATAAATCATTGAAACAAAAAAAATATTATTAAAACAAAAAAAAATTAGATAAATTTTGACACCAAACCTCTTTCTAACTCTTTTATTGAAAGTTTTTACTTAAAATCTGGTTCACTAATCAACATACTTTTGGGCAACTGAAGTGAAGAATATTTATTCTTTAAACTAGAAGTAGGTAATGCTAGTGAGGAAGTGGGAACTATAGATGTTGAAGATAAATTAAGTGAAATAGTAACAACAGGTGGTGCTAAAGGTGTTAATTGTGGCCACTTGGCTTAGTCTAGGTTGAGTTTCAGTTATATGATATGATTGCTAAATTAATATAACAGATGCTTGAGGTAAAGTTTCAGGTGAAGTTGCTCTTGAAGTTGCTCTTAAACTTGGTTTTGAACTTGATTTTGGCTTAGAAGTATATCTTCCAAGTTGTTTTTTTTGACATGTTTATCCTTTAAATTGTAACACAGGCAAATTTGCCTGTGTTTTTATTAAAAAGTTTAATTTTTTTAATAAAAACTTAT